CCCGGAACGAAGTGTACCCGGGGCTGCCCTCCAGCCGTCCCCTGTGTGTGCACATCTGCCTCCCAGCTGTGCCTTGCTCCACGCCCAGAGTTTTGCCATCAGTGCCAGAAAAGGCCTATGCAAAGCCTTCCCCCCCCCCCATTTCATTAGTCACTAAAGGGCTCTTTAGCTGTGTTGCAAAAGGCGGAGGTCTGGGCATCTAGGAACTGCGGGGATGTCGGTAGACCGTGACTGGGGCATGTTACTACTGTCTGAACAAGCGTTCTGCTGCTAAATGAGTGCCAGGGTGAATTTGGATACAGGTGGAGGGAAAGAACTTGGAGAAGATGAGGATTGAAGGGAGGACAGTAAGAAACAGAAAACCCCAAACACTGAATTCCTCCTGGATAGTCAGGGTGGGAAACAGTTTGTCAAGAGAAGAACTGTAGCTGAAGCCTGTTTCGGAGAGAGGAGATGTCAGTATTGACTGAGGCCAAAGTAACCACTTGTTTTTTTTGAACTGTTTACTTATTTCTGAGCTCCTCAAGATTTTTGCACTCCATTGTCCCTCAGGATTGCTATCCTTGCATGTAAACGCTTTCCCCCACACATACACCCTCCCCTTTTCTCCACTTAGCTGTTTTTTTGCCTGCTTTTCCCTAAAGATGAAGCAAAACAAATGTTCTGCTACCAAGACCCTTACTCAAAACAGTCGTGCAGCTTTTTGGGATCAAGAGAGTTACCTGACCTTTCAGCCAATAAACCATTTGCACGTTTAAGGGCTTTGGCTATTTTTGTGTCCGAGTGAGCACCTTTTTATTGTAGTCATGTCCTGCAGCTCCCAGTAGTTCAGCTTCTCTGGCTGACCCTATGTAAAGTCACTGTGCAGTGCAGGAGACCCCAATTTCCTGTCTCTAACTCCCCTTCTGTACTTCCATTTCACATTCCACTGAGGACTCAAAATGGCTGCAGATAGAAAATCCACACGGACTTATTGCCAGCTGTGGGGTGAGATCCAGGTGGAGAGAGTTTTCAGGTGTGGATGCATACTGAGCAGAGCATTCCCAAAAAGTAGGGTGGGTTTTTTTTTGTTTAGGATAGGTAATAGATACCTACTTTGCACTGTCATAGCTTTTACTGTGCTACAGCTTCCATTTTAACTGTGTCAAGAAAGAAGGCGCTGCCTTGGAAATCTTTTAATGCTGTTGATAAAAAATCCATAGGGCTGGGAAGGAGTCTGTGCTATGAGTGTCCATCCTTACGTGCCTTTGTTTGGGCTCTGGCTGAGGAGGAGCTTGCTGTACTTACACTAGTCAGTGGCTGGGCTGCCTGAAGTGTTGCTCTCACTTAGCTTCTCCATCATGCTAAAGGAGTTTGCTGCACGGCTGCAAAGAGGGGCTGGGTGAGAAGAATGTCCCCAGGTTGTTGTCACACCAGCTAGAGTCTCCTTTTGTCAAATCTTCCTGCATCAGGAAGATTGAGGCAGAAGAGGGATAAATAGTCTCCTGGGAGATTTAGGATGGAGATTCTCATAATCTCGTTCGTGTCTGTTCAGCAG